TGGTGGCAATGTGTCATCATCTTGCCTTTTAACTTTCAGTTGGGTTTTGTTTTTGCACTTTTGTGTTCAACTTTTAATTAATCTGAGTAATTTTGCTTTTGTGTTTTCGAAAAGATATATGTGGGAGATTTTAATAAACTTTTTCTTAGTGTCAACAATGATTTACTGGTTCTAAATAATTTCATTGTTTTAAAATTTTTTTGAATTATATACTAAAAAATAATTATATTTTATTTTTTTACTTGCTAAGTCCTTGCATGAGGTATTGCTTAAATTTTAAACAAAATATTTTTTTTACGTTCACTTAAAAAAAAACTATTATTAAATTGTTATTTAATTATAAAAAAATATTTTATAATTTAAATTATGAAATAACATAATGATAATTGTAATTGTTGGCGGATTCAGGAGAAAGATTCGAAAAAAGAAAGGTGGCCTAACTTTTTATTAATTTCTAAGGAACAGTCAATGTGTTCCTAGAGGGAGTAAAATGTAACAGTAAGAAATGGAGCGATTATAATTTTGTTTTAGTAGAAATTTTAGCCCTACTTAAATTCCCCCTAAAAAATAAAAAATAAAAGGTTAAATTCCATTGTTTGTTCTCTACTATAAGAAAATATTCTTTTTGTCCTTCTTATTTAAAATTTTGGCCTAACATGATAGCTTAATTAACGAAAAATTTATTTTTTTTACTTAATTTATGTGAAAAATCCATTTAGCTAAAGTTAATGGCATGATTAAATTTTTTACTTTTAATTATCAATTTACCCCCATCTTCTTCCCCATCCTCTCCTTCCTCCAGCCTTCTTTTTTTTTATTCTCTTTTTTTTTCTTTTACCTCTATACGAACCAAAGCTCCTGGGTTTGAGACATGGGTTTAAAGATAAGGTCCTTTTGTGGTAATTTGCGGCACTTTCTCGTAGAAAATAGAAGACGTTTTTGTTATTAAATCATTTTTCCTTGTAGAAGTCCAAAGGTCAGAACCAATCTCCCAAATTGGGAAGCAATTCCTGGGATTCGATCTCAATTCCCTCGGAGTGACTTACCTTTATACGTTCTACTTCCATAGTAACATATCCAGTGCCACATAAGACATTCCCCCATTGCATGCGCCTATCATGTCTTCTAAATTCAGTCTCCCACTCCGATCTTTCCCTTTCTTCCCCTATTACAAACAGTATATCGTTCTGTGTTATATATATATATAAAATTTATGGTTATGCTTCCTCTAACCCTAAATTCTACGCCACTAGTTATACTAAATAGTAATTACTGTACTCTTTTTTTTTTTGGTAATAATACTGTACTTTATGCCAAGACTTGGATTTTGACACCAATTGGAGTTTCCTTCCTCAAGGTTATGTATAACATCAAATTAGTCTAACATTTATGATTATTTGATTAAGAAACTATATTTCTCAACAAATATTTAATAATGTTAAACTTTTTTATATATAGTAAATTAACTAGCTAAATATACTCAATCAATTAAAAATTTACCATATATGATTCCTATAAGTAAATATATGAACTCAGCTGTTAATTTTTAAAATGTTGATGTTTTTAATTAAAACTCCATGAAATTAGATTGATCTATATTGTTCTCAATTTATTATATATTTTGTTAAAAGTACAAAGACCCTTCCAATTAACTATTAGCTTAATTCTTCATAATTGCCACCATAATCAAAGGATAAGAAAACTAGATTGGAAATGTTTAAAATAGATGCTAGAAGGTTTTATCAAGACACTTCATTTAGTTTAGAAAATAATAATTATTTTTAAACTTGAATATTCAAGAAATTTTAATTTATATAGATTAATGTATGCAACAATTACTAGATGAAAATTTATTTAGGAAAGTGAACATAAATTTCGTTGTAACTTCATACGTGAGATGAAAGGCCACCAAGCCCTCGGATGTTGATTACGTTAGTTATCTTCCAAGAAATTAACCATCACACACCAACTTGGGTAAAGCCAGATGAGTGAGAAGAATTCAATGCCTTCTGCTAGCTGCTTAAGGTGACTAATGTGCTGACTTGAAACCGCTGCATAAAAAAGCATCTCCATCCAGACATTCCTAATCAGCTTCCATTTATTT